CAGTAAAAAAATGTTTCATAGTACGAATTATGAATTAAGGTCCAATTTTTTTACTACCTGTGATTGGAAAACTAATTTTGAAAATCGAAACAAAAACGAATGCTATGATGCCTGCTTAAAATATTACAATATTGCGTGTGATAAATACGTCAAAATCAAATATGTAAAAACCTATTATAAGTCATGCAACTGGATATCTCTGCCACTAAAAATAAAAATGAAGTCAAAAAACAAACTTAGGTTCAAATGTTTGGCCTGTGGCTTTTCCAATGCAAAACTGATAGAAGAATATAAACAGAGTAAAATAACATACAAAAGGTTCCTCAAAAAAACAGTAAAAGAGTATGAATTAAAGTTAGCCAATTATGCTAAACATACAATAAAGCTTTTGTATTCATATGTGAAGCAGAAGAAAAAATCAAGTCAAGTATAAATTCCTTAAAAGATAAAAGCAATTGTACGATCACAGATCCAAAAGACATAGCAAATACTTTAAATGACCATTTTCAAGGTGTATTCACAAAAAAAGCTTTTGTTCTAGTAACACCTTTAAGTTATATATTAACACGATGCAATCAGGTATTCGTCCAGATGATTGGCACACATAACAACTTTATATAAAAAAGGCAGCAAAATAATTACAAGCAATTATCGTCCAATTTCTTTGACGTCAGTTGCTAGTAAAGTTATGGAAAAAATTGTCAAAGACGAAGTATGGTCCAACACTTCAAAATCACCTAATTTCAACTAATCAACATGGTTTTGTGCACAACAAATCATGCACAACTAGTTAATTTGAAACAATGGAATTTATTACCTATTCATTACCTAAAGGAAATGCGGTTGATGTAGTATTTATAGATTTTGCCAAAGCCTTCGATGATGTTCCGTATAGATATTTAATTCACAAGTTGTCGAATTATGGAATTATAGGTCACACTTTAAAGTGGCTTGAATCTTTTTTAAAAAATCGTCGACAAAAAGTCGTAATGGCAGAATTTTCATCAGAATGGAAAGAGGTTCGGAGTGGTGTACCGCAAGGATCCGTTCTAGGTCCTATTTTATTTATAATATATATTAATGATATGCCAGAACTATTAAAAAGTGTAATTAAGTTGTATGCTGACGATACTAAACTGTTAGCAAAAATAAATAATTTCAACGATATAAATGTATTACCAAATGACATAAATAAAATCGCAAAATGGTCCCAAAGCAAATGTCAAAATGCAAAGTAATGCATCTCGGCAAATCAAACAAACATCATAATTAAACAATTCCATCAATAGCAAATGAAATAACTAGTATATGCAATACAAACGGTGAAAAGGATTTACGTGATTATTTTATCTAGTAAGACGAAATATCATAGTCAAGTTATGTATGCATTAAATAAAGCAAATTAAATACTTGGAATGTTAAGCAGGACTTTCACCTATAGGGATAGCAAACTTCTCAAAACACTGTTTACATCATTTGTGAGACCTCGTTTGGAATTCGCAATACCGGCGTGAAACCCTTACCAAAAAAATGACATTCTAATTGAACAAGTATAACACCGAGCAACTCGTTTGATTCAATCACTCAGAAAATTGAATTACAAAAAAAGATTAAAATTATGGGTATTCAACTCTTGTTGACCGTAGAGTTCGAGGTGACCTAATACAATGTTTTAAAATAATAAATGGCTTCGATATTGTAAATTGGTGTAACGTAAATTCGCTCTCCTATTCAAGAAATTTTAATCAAAATCGAACGCAAGGTAATAACTTTAAGCTAGTTAAAGAGTTAGTTAAAAACAATGAACAGCGTCATCAGTTTTTTACAAATCATGTAGTGAACACTTGGAATAAATTGACTAAAAACATAATCAGTGCCACAACTGTAAATAGTTTCAAAGCAAGATTGGATAAATTTTTTGAATCAGAAAACCTTGAAGATGATTAACGATGAAGTTGGCTTTATTCCCATATAATTAACTTAATTCAATATAATTTCTAAATTTATATGTAGGCGGCCACAACCAGAATTTGTTACACAAGCTATTGCTTGTTGCGGTACAATAAATAATAATTGAATACAATAACAATAAATAATAATTAAAAACTCATTGTCAGATAGTAATTTAACTTTTGATAAGCTAGAAACAGCAATCAAATCAATTAAAAAGAATAAGGCCACAGGTATTGATGACATCTCTGGCAATGTTGTGCTTTATATTTTTTTCTGTAATAAGAAAGCCTTTTTTAATATCTTCAGTTCTTTAATCAAAATTGAATTATCCCAGACAAATTAAAAATATCAAAAATTGTACCTATATCTAAAGGTGGAGATACATCTGCAATTAGCAATTATAGACCAATCTCAATTCTTCCTATATTTTCTAAACTCCTTGAAAGAATAATTTACAACAGACTATATAAATATTTAATCGAACA